TCTTCATGAGAGGTTGGTGTATGCTGTAAGTCACCGTGCAGTAAAGATGACAGCAGTTTGCTCATGGTTATTGAGCAGTAAGACTATAAATACCTAGCAGTGATCAAAAACATGTTGAAGAAGAGGGGAGGAAGATCAGAGAATGCAGTATGAAAATTATAAATCTACCCTAAGGTGCTCTATTAATGAAGCCATTAGGAGTGGGTTGGGTGATTGTCTGTCTAGTTGTTCTTGAAGTTTGATGTGGCAGCAGTCTGGAGAATGGGTGAGCATCTCCAGTGCAAGAAGAAAAAAAAACCATGGAAGAGCTTTGTCCTCAGTAGAGTGACTTCTGGTTACTTCCAGATGTTCTCTAAACTGAAATGTTGGAAGTACTTAACAGTTAATCCATTCCTACAAAAGGCCTTATGCAGCATTGCCTTGTGTGAAACCTCAAACCTAAGGGCTACTGCTTTCTTTCCAACTCTGCCTCTAGTGCAGGTGTCTTGATACACATGCTGAAACTGGCAGTTTGCTGCTGGCAAACAGGACCTTTGGCTTGTATTCAGTCCCTTCATCAGCAGGGATTAGTGTGCATTACATCCAGTAGCAAATTAACCCCAAAAGCCTTTCCAAAGTGAAATGCTGGATGGCTTCTCTGTTCAAGCCAGTGAATAGCTGTTATGACTAAATCTAATAATCATTTGCAGCATAGCTTCTGATAGAATTTTGGCTCAGCTTTCTCTGCTGACTGGCCATCATCCTTGCTTCCTTTGTACACTGCTGCTTTTAGTGGAGGTGGTGGTACTTCTGGTTCCGGGGGAATGAGGCCTAGTCTGGGGTGTTTACATGTTCAGCTTGTGTTGAGATCAAGAGTACAAGCTGAGTGCTTTTAGCCTTACTGACTGAACCATTAAATTTGATCAGTGAGCAAAGTAAAATAGTTACTGAGCAAATAAGCAACAGCGTTCCTGCTCAACACCCTTGAATATATGACACTCACCCACAGACCCTTGGCAATGCAATTCCTTGGTTGCTCTGCAGGCATATGTAATGATTGTGTTTTAATTTGCATTTGGATACACTGTCCTTTCCTCATCTATCCCCAGTGTGGAAATAGGCGAGAGTGTACGTGGGGAGGATGTCTACATTGTCCAGAGTGGCTGTGGTGAAATCAACGACAATCTGATGGAGCTCCTCATCATGATAAATGCCTGTAAGATTGCCTCAGCCAGCAGAGTCACAGCTGTCATACCCTGCTTCCCTTACGCTCGGCAGGACAAAAAGGACAAGGTAAGGGATGTGGTGAAGCTTTCTGCTGGGAAGATGAATGCACACCTTGAAAGTCCTGACTGCTGGATAGAGATTGGATGAAGTTGAGTATGTACAGGAAGAGATAAAACTTATTTTAATTTCTTTTAAACCTCAGGGCATTGGACTGCAAATTGATCTTTTCGTAAAGATCTAGTTCTTCTTGAAAATACACCAGTTGATGTAAAGATGCAGTGTTAATGAGTACTCCTTTTAGTAACTGCTTATGAATCATTGCCTAGAAATGGAAGACTGACATCTTGATGAAAGAGTTGAACTTGTCTTAAATACTGTTTTTTTCCTATACTAGAGTCGAGCTCCGATCTCTGCCAAGCTGGTTGCAAACATGCTGTCTGTGGCAGGTGCAGATCATATAATCACCATGGACCTGCATGCATCTCAGATTCAGGTAGGAACTAAAATCAGGGAAGTACTTGCTCCAGTCTCAGCCTCTTTACTGCCTTGCAGGCTTTCCAGTGATGTGCTTTTTTGATGGCAGTGATCAGGACTTGGGAATTTGGAACTGGAAGGGATTGTAGAATCAGTCAGAAGAGGATGGGGACATGGGTAACAGGTTCATCTGTAAATGAAATTATAGCTGTTCTTGATCAGACTAAGCATAATGAGTCCTGTGTAAATGAGTGTTGGGCCATACGACTTTATTGCCATGGTCCTTTGAGGAATTTGAGATGGAAGATGGCTTTATCAAGAGTGTTCTTAAATATTAAGTAGAGCTTCTCAGGGAGAAGTGAGCTGTGCTCTGTTTGACATAGTGGCTGGTAGTGCTGCTGCCCTGAGGTTAGCTCTGCCTCCAGGTGTACTGGCACAGCTGCTTGCAAGGGTTCAGTTGACCAGGACAGTGATCTGACAGCTTGCTGCTGACAAGATGGGAAATCCCACTTGTATCTATTCAGTGCTACCTTTCCACATAAGCTGGCTGTGGTTCTCTCCCAAGCTGCTGGTAAATTGAACATTATTCATGGATTTTCCTGTCTTAGTGAACAGAATAGTCTGATGGACTGGCTGAAATCTTGATCAGAGCTGTGTAAGAGAAGTGGCAAGAGCATATAACATGGAGAGGAGGGACAGCAAGCTGTTAAATTATCAGTCTTGTGTCTTTCCACCTTGAGCAAGTGGTCTGAGACCAAGAAACCAGTTCAATGCAACTGAGAGAGGTGTGGCAGAGGGGAGGATATCTATTTTATTGCTGCAAACACTGAATCCAGAAGGGTAAGATATCTACTGCCTGGTGAAGCAGGTGGGCTGGCTGTCATTTTAACAGTTGAAAATGCAGCCATTCGCACTTCAGTATAATTTCTTCCAGTATAATTTGCCCAGAAATACTTTGTCCAGGTGGAAAAAACCTATGGGGGCACAGCTGAGAAGACTTTCAGAAAGATCATGAAATAGAAGGACAGAGCCCAAGGGGGTATGCCTCTTCCATAAGAGGCTTGGAGTTGTGATGTGTGCCATAGTGTTGACCTTTCACCAGCAGCAATGGTGAGATTCAGTTGAATAATTTGGTTTTTGTATATAAGCTTTCAGCATCTGGCTTGTTTCAGCCTGGTTCTTCTAGTTGCTGAGCACAGGAGGAGTGATGGTAGAAAGATCTGTTACCCCTTTGTCTTGGAGCATTCCTCTAGAGTAGCTGCTCCCCCCCCCTTTTTCCCCCGCCTATTATTCCCTGTCCAGTATTAACTCCTGGCTTTTAGTGACCTTTGAGGTTTACCTTGGAGGAGTCTGCTGGGTCAGTGTGAAGTTGTGGAACCAGCTGTATTAGTTTAAAAACAAATGTTACTCAAGCCTTTTTCATAGGCTTCCTGTAGATGCAAACAGTGTAGGTAATGAGCTGTAAAGATTGACTTTGTGAACAGGCAGTAGCTGCTCGGAAAATGAGTGTGTTTGGTTTTCTGCACCCCCTTAGTATAGAACTAGTTCCATGTTGTGAAGGTGTCAGATGTAAAGTGTTATTTATGCTGCTAAACTATTTCTGGCTCTGAAGACTTCTTACATTACTGTTCTGTGTATCCCAAAGGCTACTGCCCTTGCATTAAGGGAAGTGGAAGGGAAAGCTGTGGAAAGGCAGTGGCTGCATGCCTGATCATATAGAAGGCTCCTTCCAGCTGTTTGAAATGTGACCTTCAGCTACATTTGTTCCTGTCATCTTCCTTGCAGGGTTTTTTTGATATCCCTGTTGATAACTTATATGCCGAGCCTGCTGTACTGAAATGGATCAAAGAGAATATTGCAGAGTGGAAGAACTGCACCATTGTTTCACCAGATGCTGGTGGAGCCAAGAGGTAAGCTGTCAGACAGTGAACTTGAGGTGCTGCTTCCATATCTGCTTGAATTCCTGAGAATGCTTGTGACCTTATTCTTAAGACATATTCCCTCTGCCGGCCTACCTTCTGAAGGTAAGACAGTCTGTGGCAACTAGTGAAAAGTGGTCAGGTGTTCTTCATAGGAAATGTTTAGAGGGTTTCTTGGGCTACATGGAGAATTAAATAGCTTCTAGAATCACAGCTGCATAGGTAGGAATTGCACAATTACTGCATCACTTGGACTAAAACAATTTTTTTAAGAAGGTTAATTTTTCAGGTTGAAGGAGGGAATCATGTAGCTCATGACAAGGTGACTGCTACTGGTTAATGATATGTTTTTATCCAGGCTGTTTTCTTTGCAGTATTAAGCTTAGTCTACTGAGGCATTTTCTTACTTTACTCTTGATTTGAATATCTAGCTGAGACTTAAACTTGCTGCTACTCTTCCTCTTCCCTGAGAGCAAGGAATATAGATGGTCCCTTTCCAAAAAGCAGCATAAGTTATAGCACGTTTCTACTTAGATAGTCTGACTCTAAGTAGTCTTTCTTAGACTCTAAAATCTCCCATCTTTCTGCAGATAAACATGCTAGCTTGTGGGCAGTTCAGAATGTTCTCAGGTGCTTGTAAGGAGAAACTAGGCTGTTCCTTGAGTCTTTGTAAGGGCCACATGTGAACGCAAAGGGATGCAGATGTATTCATAATCCAGGATTGTCATGCCAAAATGTTGGTGTGTGCTGACCTGATTCACGTACTTCAGAGTGTTTTAAGCTACAAACTGCCAAGAGATAGTACCACTGTAGGTCTTCAGTAGCTTTGTTGTGGCCTGTGTATTGGACAAGACCTTTTGTCTATTCAGCTACTTCTGTAGCTTGTTGCATAATGCAGTATATGAAATGCTAAGTCAGCCAGCTCAGTCATCTGAGTCCTGAAAAAAACTTTTCAAAAGCCACTTAAACTAAAATGTGTTGATCCTAGCTGGTGCAATATTTTATGGAGATACTGCAGGACTAAATACTTTAGTAGAATTTAGTACAGTTCAGTGTAACAATCTTGTGTAGGACTCCCAGGGTGATGAGTCTGGTCTACTGGGGCTAGGAGTTTACTCATCTCAAGTGTAGAATTTCTTAGGGGCATGTGTATTTTTCCTTCTCGCTGTTTATGCTTTTAAGCTCTTTACTGTTCATCGGTATCAATACATAAAGTTTAGGTCCCTTTAGTAAGGTTGTTCTGTGGTGACTTTAACCAAAGTAAATGTGGAGTGGTGGACTTGCATTTCTTGGATGTGTACTCCTGTCAGTGTCCTTGTGCCAGCACTTGTATGCTAATGAATGCTTATATGAGTGCAAGTAGACCCTTGTCGTAGCTCAACTTAAGCCTTTCCAGTGTAGTGTGATAAAGATGACAACTTTCCAAGCATTCTAATGACTTCAGATTTGCTAAACTTGCTGGTTAAAGTTTGTTTTGAGCTTTATATGCAAATTAATTTACAGCGGTTGGGATTAAAGGCTGTTTTATCTTAATTTAGTTGCTGTCATCAGGAGAGATTAGATTGGAGATTGCAGTTTAACTGCTTGAAGGGAAACTAAGGTGGCAGAGTGTCTTCTGTTAATTGCTTGGGAGCAGTAATGTGTGGTTGACAGCTTCTCTTGTTGCAGTGGCAGTTTGTGCTTAATAGTTTTAAAAGAGAGTCATTTGAAGCTGATGTGTGGAGTTAAGTGTTGTTTGGAAACTTCTCTCTTCAGAGTCACCTCCATTGCAGATCGATTGAATGTGGACTTTGCCCTCATTCACAAGGAGCGCAAGAAGGCCAATGAGGTGGATCGTATGGTGCTGGTGGGTGATGTGAAGGACAGAGTGGCCATTCTGGTAGATGATATGGCAGACACGTGTGGTACCATCTGTCACGCTGCGGACAAGTGAGTAGGGCTGACTGATTCTTTCCTAAATCAGAAACCTATTGTTAGTGAGCACTGTGTAATGAGTTAATCAGATTCTTTGTGTTTCAAGTTTCACAAAGTAACATACAGTTTCTTGATTTTTCTATCTCATGTCATACCGACTAAGTAAAAAACCTAAAGTTCTCACAGTGGGAATAGCTAGAAGACCATAGTATGTCTTTTTTCATTTGAAAAACGCACATGTTGGAAGTATGTCTTCCATCACTGACTATGCTAGGTAGAACTAAGAGCTGTCTGGTCCATCACCTTAAGGTCATACATCTGACTTTCTGCAAGGAGTAAGCTTTTCAAGCTGCCTACACTAGAAACACCAGTGTATGCAACACTCAGTATTAAATATCTGCTAACTTGTGTTAGCAAAAATCATGCAAGGTGATTTGTATGGTCTAGTCCAAATGTCCCAGGGCTAAGAACAATATTTTTTTCAATGTATACTTTGCTGTGGTGTATTTTATGGTACTTGTTAAACTGTTTTCTTCCCCCAAATCAATAGTGGGCTGGAGGGGAGAATCAAAGGTAGCCCGTCCGCTAAGCATACAGCATTGTCTCCTTTCATGCTTACCATGTGCACTGCAAAAATGTCAGTTTGATACTTGCTAAGAATTTCTCATCCTTCTCCTTTTTCCTTGCCTTGTAGGCTTGTGTCAGCTGGAGCCACCAAAGTTTATGCCATCTTAACTCATGGGATCTTTTCTGGGCCAGCAATTTCTCGGATCAACAATGCCTGTTTTGAGGCAGTTGTAGTCACAAACACAATACCCCAGGAGGACAAGATGAAGCAGTGCCCTAAGATCCAGGTGAGCATCCACTTTCTCTCCTGTCTCTCCTGAGGGGCAGTAGCACTTGTCTGTCCTTCTGTTGGTGGGAAAACTCCATAGTACTGTCTAGTGCTTCCAGCAGTTTCATTGGTACTGGAATCAGTGGTGATGTTGACGAGTTCTCTTGTTCCTATTGCTGTAGGATAACAAACCTGTTACACTGATAAAATGCAGCTTCTAATCCATCTTATCTTAAATGGTTCATTTAAGGAAATTTTTTTCAGGGGTTTTACCTAGATCAGATCACTGATCTAATGGAGCCACGATGTAAGCAAGCAGTTTTATCTGTATGCTTTGGAGGAGTGATATGCTGATGACATGTAATACTGATGCAGAAGCAGATAGGTACTTCATAGAAGTTGCTAATGCCAGCTTCAGTTGTGTATCTATCACCTAATGCCCAGCCCTTTAAGCAGAGTGTCCCTTCCTTTTGTGAAGCAAAGTAGGCCTTGCCTGGGGAAGGTGAATGCTTCATGTCTGGTCATAGCAGCAGTGCAGGTGAGCTGGAGGAGGAGTGCAGTCTTATCCCACAGATGTGTCTTGCTGGTTTGACTAAGAGCACTTGGCACAGCTCCACAGTACAATGTTCAGATACTTGCCAAAGATAAACAAAAACACTTTGCCATCCGTATGAAAGCTAAAAGCTGGTCTCTTGATGCTCAGTCTGTCTCGGGTTTTCCATTTAGGGAAAGTACTGTGGTATTTTGTTGCCCAAGCTGAGACTGACTTTCCTGGAAGAAAAAAATTGGCTGTTCAACTTGAGCTAGGCAGAACTTGAGAATTTCCTGTGTTGATGAAAAGCTGGAAGTTGCAGCTTTACCTGAGCCTTCAAGCATAATAGGTCCATCAGAAACTTCAGATATTGCTATAGCATATACACAGCCAAGGACATCTGAAATACTAACTTCACAGCATAGACATGTGGGGACAGGTATTTGGAGAAGTTCTGAAAAGTGAATGGTGCTGCTAAAACTCTGCTAGTACTGTTGTAAGTGTAGCAGATTCCCCAGTACTGGGGCTTTGGTGAAAAGGAAGCTCAACTGGTTGAAGCTGCAGTGAATCTTAAGCTGCTGTTGGAAGTGAGTTATAAGCTGATTGCAGACTGCCATTGGGTTGCATTTTCTTGACACTAACTGCTGGATTGTATCCCTGCAGCTGAGCACATCTAAAAGATGTCTGATGCTTCAACTTCTTTCCAAGCTCCACGCTATAGTTAATGTAGGCAAAATGTTAAACTGGTAATCAGTATGTAAATAGTAGCCAAAGATTGCAGTGGAGTAGTTTTTCAGGCTCTCACTTAACACCTCACTCTTTTACACTAACATCTGATGTTCAGTGTTGAGAAATACGGAACTAAAGCATTTGTAATAAATCTCATGTTCTGTCTGCTCTGCAGCTCTGAAGTTTTTTCTTTCCTTCCTTAGAAGACAAACTATATGGAAGAAAGAAAATGTTAAACATGCGTTTCACTTAGTTTCCTTAACACAGCATGAACATGGTGCATCTTACTGAGACTGCATATATTGAAGTGCTTTGGCTGCTGAGGTTCAGAGCGAGAGATTATAAAGATTTAATTTTCCCTCCTGTTAGCTGGATTACCCCGCCAGGGGGAGCCGGCTCGGTGACTGGGAGCTAAGTTGCAGCACAGTAGTTTCATCTTTCTTAGCCTGCTGGCAGTGATGGTAAGGCCTCATGACTCAAGGGAAGGAATGTGATCTTGATTTAGACTCCCCTAACTTCTCTGCAACTTACACAAAGTAAGAAAAATAGTCCTAAGGTAAACAGACTGAGCTTAGGGAGTCTCAGCAAAGAAAGGTGACTAGACTGTCATCCTGACAAATATCGACAGTGAAATAGTTCTTGTAGTGCTATATGTAGAATTTCTTCAGAATTATACATAATTAAATCCCAGTCCTGTTCAGAAGTCATTTGTCTGCATCTTACATGTTATAAATTTGGGTGATGAGTTTACTTAAGTTCTTTCTAACTTAACCAGCTGTTCTTCCAGGCTTGATGTCTTTTCTCAGTGATGCTGATGCATCTTTCTTCCCCTCCAGGTGATTGACATCTCAATGATCCTTGCGGAGGCCATCAGGAGGACTCATAATGGGGAATCTGTCTCCTACCTATTCAGCCATGTCCCTTTATAACAACAGATGCCAGCTGCTGCTTGTATGGCTTTTTTTAAAACCAAAAGTTGTTCAGCGTGTTGTAAAGTTCAGTAGAAGACTCTGCTTGTTCCAGTGCAGTTCTCCACAGCTCCTCCTGCTTAAGGCAGGCTTCCTGCCTCTGATCCCAACACTGGGAGGCTGGGGAGGGGCAGCTCATCTGTCACACTCCAGCTCCACCAGCAGCCCTGTTTATTGGGACTCATCAGTAGTATTGACTCAATTCTGCAGATCTGTGGAGAGCAGGACTGACACATGGCTAATTGCCACAATTATTTTAAGGGGGTGGGGAGGGAGAGGATTTTTCTGTGGGCAGGGTTAGGTGATCTGGCATGCACATCCTAAATTGTTTGGGAAGTAGAGCTCCCTAGGTCATGTTGATATGGATCTACAGCAAGAGCCTGAGAGACTGCTGGCTGTCTTACCAGTGCATACCTGACAAGCCCCTGAAGAGTGATGGGGAAGGCTTATATCTTGCCCAAGCTTGACCTGGGGGACACTTGGGAGGTGGGTCTGCTACAGCTTCTTCCCATGAAAGGAGATCAGCGTAGCTTGCAAACTTGAATTCATCTTAATGAAATTAAATGCCCTTTAGCATGCTACACAGCAAAGTGAAGGTGAGAGCATAGTCTGTGCAGTACTGCCTTGCTGTGTTCACTTGGTGGTGAAGGTGCATCCTAGACAAGCATTCCTCTCCCTCTTGTGTAGAGGACTCATGGTGGGTATAAATGCTTTAGTTTCTAGGGTAGGGCTAAAACCAGTTTCTCAATTTCACAGCTTACTGTTAGCCTTGATAGCAGTTAGAGGTCTGCTGTCATGTACTATAGCTGCACCTTGACTTGCTGTACAAATCCATGATCCTTTTTTTGCTAGTACACTAGTAAACTGAGCCTCTTTATCCCATAGTAGCTTGGTTGTTGCATCTAGTAAGTGCCTGTTCGGATGCTGGGGTGACTTAATATGCAACAGCTTTGTGTCCAGCTGTCTTAACCTCTCATTGCCTGCAATCCTGTTGTCCTGTAAGTTACTAACACATTCTGATTGCTTGTCGTGGTCGCTGTCTGCTTTGCCTTGAAAGTGTTGCTCCTTGCAAAAGATCTTAAACCAAGGAGCACAGGAGGTTACAGGACTACAAAACCTGAAGAAGTCATTGGAGTGGGTTTGATGCTGCTAATGAGTGCTTATGGCAATGGGTTAAAGAGGCTGGTGATACGTAGTACTGGAAAAACTGTATATGTAAGACCAACCTGACAGGCAGCAAAGTGCCTGAAAGAAAAATACCAAAACTAGAGCTGACTGAGGCTCCTGGATGTAATAAGTGTCATCTGAAACTTGAATACTTAGTAACTGTACCAGACAATCATAAGGTAAACTCTTAAGTCTCTCCTGGACTCTTACGGCGTTATAGACCAAGCTGGTTTATGCTCTGGTTTCTATAAGCACTCCTCTATTATTTGTTTTTGAGCTGGAGGAAGGGAAAAAGGGAAAAGAAGGAACTTGAAATTACTCTACTAGAGTAACCAGCATGGCTTTGAGAGGCTAGGGGCTGGGGATGTAAGTGGAAATAACTGAAAAACTTGGTTAAGATATAGGGAAGTACTTCTTTAGTTGTGCCTTTTACTGAAGACTTCTCTCCCTTCCTAGAACTCCTGTCCTGTGGCAATGTTAACAATTCTATTAGTGTAGGGTTTTTCTTTTTGTATAAGAATTGATGCTTGTCTGGAAAGTGTCTCTCTTGCTTCTTTGCTTTGCATCCTGCACTGAGCTCTACTGAGAGCCCGATTCCTGCCTCCTGTGTCGGAGCCTCTGCTGCTGCACTGCCAGTGCCCTGAAAGCCAAGAGCCAGGACATCAGAGCAGCGTGTGAGGATTTTCAGCAGCATTTCTGTTTAAACTTAAGACCTGATGAAGGAATTAAACTTTTATTTAAAAACCATGGCCTGTGCCTATAAATGCTTCTAAAAACCTTACAAAGGCGATGCACATCTTCTGACTTAGGTCATTTGCAAGGTAGATAATGGAGTAATGTTACTTGGAAGGGACCTTGGAAGGTTATCTAGTTTTACCCTCTTGCAGCAGTGCTGACTGTGAGGTTCAGCTTGGCTGTGTTGACATTGCATGGAAGAAAAAGCTTGGGACCAAGCTACTTCTCTTAGTAGATAGTGGCTTTTGTCTGGACCTGATTTCCTAGACTTGTTAGAGGTGGTAATGCAGTTTCTCTTGTACTGTTCAGTTACGTGTCTGAGCAGATCTGTTCACATAATGTTCAGGTAGGGGAAAACCTGAATACTTTAGCAAGTACAAACGAAGAATTGCTAAGTGTCTTGCATAAAGCTAATGATCAGAGGCAGCAGGATTATGTCCCGAGAAGCGCTTGTTCTAACTAAACCATGATCTTTCTTCCTTGTGTGTTGTCAACTGTGAAAGGATAAATGAAGTCAGAAGGATGAGATGGCAGGTCTAAAGAAAGGTCTTTGGCCTTACAATAGAATTCAAGGCCTAGACTGAATATTGCTTCAGGGAACACAACCATGGCCTAAGGTAGACTTCTGCTGAGGATCGCTACTGTCATTCATCTGTTAAAACATTTTTCAGTACTGGTCAATGAATAAGTGAGCTCTACCTTTTTTTTCCTTCCAATAGCAGGGGCATGATGTAGCAGACTTCACCTTCCTTAGAGGAGAAACAACACAAGCTTAACAGTCAAAAATTTGTACAAAGGTCACCATTGCTATTGGTGTGTATATACTGTCGTCTTAGTTACTTCAGTAAAACCTTGGGGGTTGGAGTGGGGGAGGGCACAAACTTAAAATGCTGTATGACAGCACGGTAGGTCTTAAAAGGGTGGGTGATACACAGGGTATGAGAACTATCCCAAGGAGGTAAAGCTCCTCTGCTCTGGAAACCTTCAGATCAGAAGGGCTGAACACGTTACCAAAGTTCCTTCCCTAAATTAAAAAAAAAACAAACCACAAAACAAACTTTATAATTACTAAACCCATTTGTAGGTGGGTTGTGACTGACTGAGTAGAGTGACTGTTGTGCTGTTAGAGTGAGTATGGCTGCCTTTAGCATGTGCATGTAGTATAATTAAAACACTCTTTTCCCTGTTGAGGACAGTCATGGATGTAGTACAGGCAGCTGTGGGAAGGGTCTCCCTTCACTGCAGTGTAGCCTGGGAGGGAACCAGCCCCTGAGATGTGAAAGGCAGAAAGCCAAGTTCCTCCAAGTTCAGGAGTGATGCTGGGATGCTCATCCCTTAGCCCAGACAAGTTCAGCTCCAGCAGCATCAACTATGCTGTGAAGCACTTGTACTGTCTTAAGCTACTTGCTGTAGTGGAGGTGATTATCCTGGAGAGCTGCTGGCGTGACTACAGAGCATGCAGGGTGCTTTTGAGGTGAATTGTGTGGTGTCTTTCCAGGCTTTCTTCACAGTCGCTGAAGAAATGCCACAGAAAGCAAGTCATTACTTCCCCAGGAGAAAATCCCAAGAGTAATTTGCTGTGCTTTTGTAGTTGGAGAGCTGGAAGAGCAGGACAGAGCTACAGCAGCTTGCTGTGCCACAGACACAGCTTGAGCATGGCTGCAGGTGTGCAGATGCTGATATTGGTGTCAGTAGCTGTCTTCAGTCTGCTGCCTGCTGTAAAAGCAGCATCAGAAGGGAACACATAAAATCATAGAATGGTTTGGGTTGGAAGGGACCTTAAAGATCATCCAGTTCCAAACTGCCTGCTATGGGCAGGGACACCTTCCACTATACCAGGTTGCCCAAAGCCTCATCCAACCTGGCCTTGAACACTTCTAGGGATGGGACATCCACAACTCTTCTGAGCAACCTGTTCCAGTGCCTCACCACCCTCATTGTAAAAAATTTCTTCCTTAGATCTAATCTAAATCTGCCCTCTTTCAGTTTAAATTCATTGCCCCTTGTCCTTTCACTACACGCCCTTATAAAAGCTTCTTGTAGGCCCCCTTTAGACTGCTATAAGGTCTCCCCAGAACCTTCTCTTCTCCAGGTCGAACCTCAACTGTCTCCCAATATGCAGGACTTGTCCACTGTTTGGAGCAAGACAAGACACATCTCAAATTGCTGTCACTGCTTCTCCCTGTGCTTTGCTAGTGTACAGATGATTTCTCATCTCCTGGAATCAGTGTTTCTGGGATCTAGAGAAAGCAGCAGCTGGTTTTGGGCAGTGGGAAAGTAGTAAGGGTTAACTAACAGAAAGCCCTTCTCTAAACTACAAGGAGCAGCAAAATCCACGGGAGGAATGTGTAAGACCCAACAGCCTGAGTGTGCTGGCTGCCTTCCTGCGGCTCTGCTCCCACCCCGGTGGAAGGAATTGGTCGTGGCAGGAGGCTGGGGTTAAAAATGAGCAGGAAAAAGTGAACTGTGGCCCTGCAGAATAGGAGGTCCAGCTCACAGCCAGGCAGTGGTGGCTGAAGGGGGCTTGGCCGCGGTTGGTCCCCTGCCAGTCCCTGCAGGCAGAAGGGTGAGTAGGCAGGAGGCTGAAAAAACCTCTCCGATCAGATGCGGAAAACCTGCTGCCTCCTTCTTCCTGTAGAAGAGAATAAAGCATTCCTGGAAATGGCCATCAGCGAGGCTGTATCTGTGCCCTGACAGCCTTGTTCTGTGGGAGATTTAAAACCCATCTAAAATGGCTGGCAGTTGTTCTCTTCTATTTCAGGTCAGGGCTGTTTTTGCTTTCCCACTATCTATTGATGTCTCAGTTCTTTTGTTATAAATTATTGAAAGCAGAAATACCAAAACATGAGAAAGAAGCGGGTTGTGCAGTTACAGGAGGCTTTGCAAATTTGTCAGGTGAAAAAGCTCTTGCTGGGATATAAGCTGCTTCTTCTTTGTGCAAGATGGCTTTCAAAAGCTCCCCAGCAGCAGCCCCTCACCTTGCAGCTGGAAGTGCAGAGGGTTGGCTTTAAAGCTGCTCTGGCTGTGGTTTTGAGAAGTGTGGCAGTGCCCGCATGGCCAAGGCTGACTCGGGGAAGGGGGAGCTCCCCTGCCTGTGCATCCACCATGGGGCCTTTGTGCCTAGGTGGACCCTGGGGTTTGCAAAGCGCTGCAGCATCAAGGAGATGCAACACATCGCACTGGGGCTGCACCTTGGCTGGGCTGGGTGCAGCTGATGCTGGAGAACGGGGACCAGGTCCTCTCGCACTCATTGCCTGCTGGGGACAAAAGCTACAGCAGACAGTGCAGCATCTGCAAAGAAGTGCGTGGAGAGGAAAGAGGGGGAAGCTGGGGGGGAAGGTGGGCGCAGCTGGAGTGTAAACACATGG